TGTATTTCTTTCCATTCTTAATTAGGATTTATGTAATGGGTTTTATCGTTTTCCTCCACTGTATAGATTCATTACTTAAACCTGGTAAATCTGAACTGGATTTGATCTATAGACTAGCAATTCTGGCTTTTCTTTGATGACCTTAAGAAATTGCTCTTTCTTAACATAGTTGAAAAATTTCAGTATTATAGGTGTTGGTCTCATGCTTCTGGGATTCCCAACAAAATGTATTCTCTCTATATCTTCTTCTGTCAGATGTTGGGAATTTATAATAGAATTAATCCAGTCCACCACTTCCTGCTTAAGATCTGTTCCTTTCTTATGTTCAAAATTCATTATTTTGATGTTATTATATCTTCAAGGTAAATAATTTTTCTTCTCAAATCATCTATTTTCTGATTTTTTTGTTTCCCCCTTTTTTGTTTCTTCCAATTGTTGTACTCTGGCCTCCGTTTTCTCTAGGCATGCCTTAATATCTGCCACTTCTCCCTGTAGTGTTTTAACATCCTTTCTCAACTGCTGATTCTCTTTTATCAAAAAGTCTATTTTGGAAAGGACCTGTTCCATTTTTTGTCCATCTTACTCTCCAGCCCCTTTAAGCCCACAGTTATATCAGAGAGTTGTTTTTCCATGCTAATTTTAATAAGACTGGTCAGAGAGGTATCCCCTCCCTCCTCTTTTCCAACAGCTTCCCAAATCTTCTCTCCAGAAGGGTCTTTAGGGGAGGGTGGCTATTCCTCTTCCACCCTTCTTAATCGCTCGACACTGCGGCCTGATGTTTTTTCTGGTCATTCCTGTGTCCAGCTTTTCACTCCCTTATCTCTGCTTTTCCTCATAAGCAGGACAAAGATTGATAGCACTCAGAAAACAAGCCGTCTTTAACAGTTCATTTAGCTGTTCAACTTCTCTAGCATTCCTTCTGGACGAAAGCAAAAGTACATTCTTCAGATTATCAGGGAGACTTTTACAATTTAAAAAACACTTCTATCTCTACTTGAAGTTTTCATAAAGAATTTAAACAAGTTTACTGACATTTCCATTTTTTAAAAAAGGATTTATCACCCTATTTTACATTCCATAGGGTGAGGAGGCGAGGGTTTAGCTGTGCATCCCGGCTGACGGAAGTGACGTCTTTTCTTTTTCCTCCCTCAGGTCACAGAAATGAGAAAGAGAATCATAAGGAGCCACTTTTTCTGCCACTGAAAAGAAGCAGGTGTGGAGCAGGAAATAAAACAATGGGAAACCCAAAAGGCAGAAAGGAAGTCAGCCAAGGAAACAGGAAAACACATCCAGCCTCCCGGGCTGTTGATGTTTGAGAATTCCTGACCATATGGGGAAAAAAAGACTGAGTTTCACATCAACAGAAATACACTCACACGTATCTCAGACTTGAAGAAAAAGCAGAGACTGCTTGAGGGGGGAAGCCAAAGAGCATGGAACAGGAAAACAGCGTAACTATGAATAATACTTCTATTTCACCTGAAAAAATCCTGACCAAAAAATGCTTACAGAATGGAGAGAGCTTTTGTAACCTGAATGCACATCAACGAATTCACACTGGGGAGAAACCATATAAATGCATGGAATGTGGAAAGAGATTCAATCACAACAGTTCCCTGGGTTCCCATCAAAGAACTCACACTGGGGAGCAACCATATAAATGCATGGAATGTGGAAAGAGATTCAATCACAACAGTTCCCTGGGTTCCCATCAAAGAACTCACACTGGGGAGCAACCATATAAATGCATGGACTGTGGGAAGAGCTTCACTAAGAGTGGTACCCTTAGGTCACATCAAAGAACTCACACTGGGGAGAAACCATATGAATGCATGGAATGTGGAAAACGCTTCAGCCAAAGCAGTATCCTCAGTAGACATGGAACAGTTCACACTGGAGACAAACCATATAAGTGCATCGATTGTGGAAAGGGCTTCAGTCAGAGCGGTGCCCTGAGTGCACATCAAAGAATTCACAAAGGAGAGAAACCATATAAATGCATGGAATGTGGAAAGAGCTTTAGCCAAACCAGTATCCTCAGTAGACATCTACGAACTCACACAGGGGAGAAACCTTATAAATGCATGAAATGTGGAAAGAGCTTTAGTGAGAAAAGGACCCTGTGTATACATATACGAACTCACACAGGGGAGAAACCATATAAATGTATAGAATGTGGAAAAACCTTCAGTTGCAACAGTAGCCTTCACTCACATCGAAGAATTCACACTGGGGAAAAACCATATAAATGCATGGTGTGTGGAAAGAGCTTCAGTGGCAGCAGTAACCTTAGTTTACATCAAAGAATTCACACTGGGGAGAAACCATATAAATGCATAGTATGTGGAAAGAGCTTCAGAGGCAGCAGTAACCTTAGTTTGCATCAAAGAATTCACACTGGGGAGAAACCATATGAATGCATGGTATGTTGGAAGAGTTTTTGTGACAGTGGATCATATGCTAGACATCAAAGAACCCACACTGGGGAGAAACCATATAAATGCATGGAATGTGGAAAGAGCTTCAGTCGCAGCAATATCCTTAGTTCACATCAAAGAATTCATACAGGGGAGAAACCATATGAATGCATGGAATGTGGGAAGCGCTTCCGTCAAAGCGCTAACCTTAGTTTACATCAAAGAACCCACACAGACGAGAAACCATATGAATGCATGGATTGTGGAAAGTATTTCAGTACCAACAGTAGCCTCATGTTACATCGAAGAACACACACTGGGGAGAAACCATATAAATGCATGGAATGTGGAAAGAGTTTTAGCCAGAGTGGTATCCTCAGTAGACATCTAAGAACTCACACAGGGAAAAACCACATAAATGCGTGAAATTCACCTCAGGGGTCATGAAAGAACCCACACAGGATAAACCATATAACTGCATGGAATGAGCTGCACTTTCATCAGTAGCTTTTGTTTACATCCAAACTCATACAGTGGAGAAAGCATATAGTGAATGAAAGGTTTAAAATCATCAGCAAGAGCAGTAGTCTTACTGGACATGAAACAGATCCAGGGGCAAAACCACACAGGGGAAAAGGATTGGAATAGGAATAGTAAAAGGAATGTGAGAAGAGCTACAATACTAGTGGAAACCTTACTAAATATCAAAAGAGTGACTGTTATTTCTCATATATAAGAGAAGTGACCTTACTGAGGACGACAGAGCACACCCAGCACCGAAACCACACCACTTCAGTGAAAATCTGGAAAGACCTAGAGTCCCAATAGAAACCTTATTAAATGTCAGAGGAGAAAGTGTGTAGTTGAAATATATGGAAAGCACTCATGTTTAGGTATGTGGAACTTTGAAACATTCTGTTAATGAAGGAAATGTATTTGACATCATAGAAAAAAACAGAGAAAATTTGAATAATGTATCAGGCTTGGGTGGTTGTTTCCTGGAAGAATGATTTATTTATTTCTTTATTTATTTGATTTATACCCCGCCCATCTGGTCTAAAAGACCACTCTAGGCGGCTTCCAATATAGTAAAATCAGTGAAATAATATAAAAAACACAAACAATTACATAAATCATATTGTAATAAACAGAATACAATAATAGAATAGAAAATACATAAGGAGAGAATAAACAGAAAAGTCAGATATTAACTGGAGGGAAGGCCTGAATGTAAAGCCATGTTATTAATTGACTTTTAAAAGTGTCCAAAGTGGGGGCTGCACGGATCTCAGGAGGAAGATTGTTCCAGAGGCGAGGAGCCACCGCCGAGAAGGCCCGGTTTCGTGTCCTTTCTTTCCGGGCCTCCCTCGGCGTCAGGCTCCTCAGCCTCACCTCCTG